AATTATTATTATTTTTTCATTATTTAATAAATATGTTTTTTTTTTTGTTGAAGGTCACTTATCATCGCAACATTCACTCCCGTTCGGTAACTTTGGAAGGCGATGTGGTTGATCCACAGGGTACGCTTTCTGGTGGCTCACGTCCGAAAGGCAGTAATGTGTTGGCTGAATTGTCGGAAATCAAAAGATTAGAACGAGACATTGCCGCGCGCAAAAAGGAGTTACATAATATTGAGCAAAAATTACGGTAACTGTTTTTTTTTTGTTATTTTAATTCTTGTTGTAGCAATTATAAATTATTCCTTCTCCTCATCCAGACTCACAACAGAAGCAGCACGTAACTACAATCGCCTCAAGGAACAACTGGAGCTGCGTCAGCATGAGTTGAACGCCTGCAAGCAGCGTTTGGCGCAAAGCACATTCCAGCAGCATCAAGAGGAAATTAAGGCAATGCAGCTGCAAATCGAAACACTCGAAGGCGATCTTGTCAAGGCGCGCGAAACGCAAAAGACAGCACGCAAGAAAATCACCGATATTGAGGCAAAACTAGCCGATGCTAAAGGTTTTCGCGAGCGCGAGCTAAAAAAGGCGTCCGAGGACATGAAAGCGGCAAAGAAGAAATCCGAGGAGTCACGCAACAATTGGAAAAAACGCGAACAAGAATTCGAAACATTGCAATTGGAAATTGAGGAGTTACATAAAAGTATTAAAAAGACCACCGAACAGCGTGACACTATGGTTCAGAGTATTGAGAAACTAAAAACGAATCTGGAAGAACTACGTGTTGGCAGTACGATCATCACAAAGGTGGTGGCGGAATTGAAGCAACGCATCAAAGAGCAAAAAGATAAAATCAACTCGCAGAATAGAGAGTTAAAACAATTGTTGGTTAAAAAAGAAAAATTGGCTAAAGCCAATCAAGATATGACATTGGAAATTAAGAAAAAGGAGAATGAGGTCAATAAGGTGCGCAACGATAGCAAGGACTCATTTCGCAAAATCGAAACGCTCGAAGAGAAATATCCTTGGATATTGGAGGATCGTGAATTTTTCGGCACGAAAAACACCCGATATGACTACTCCAAAGAAGACCCGATCGAAGCGGGGCATAAATTGAGCGTTATGCGTGAACAAAAGGATAAAATGGAGCGACATATAAATCTGCGCGCTATGATACTGTTAGATCGCGAAGAGGAGCAGTATCAGGAGACAATGCGTCGCAAAAAGATCGTTGAGCAGGACAAAGAAAAGATAAAACACATCATTTGTAAGATGGATGAAAAGAAACGTGAGAAAGTTGAAAAAGCCTGGAAGGTTGTCGATGAAAATTTCAGCAGCATATTCAGCACATTGCTTCAAGGTGCGCAAGCACGGCTCAATCCTGTCAAACAGGCGGGTCAACTATTCGGTTTAGAGATAAATGTCGGTTTCAACGGCGTATGGAAGGAGTCGCTTAGCGAACTCTCCGGCGGTCAACGCTCGTTGGTTGCGTTATCGCTAGTCTTAGCTATGCTTAAATTTTCACCAGCACCACTATATATACTCGACGAGGTGGACGCAGCGCTGGATATGTCGCATACACAAAATATCGGCAACATGTTGAAGGCGCATTTTACCGGCTCACAATTCATTATCGTCTCGCTGAAGGATGGCATGTTCAACAATGCAAATGTGCTGTTCCGCACCAAATTCGAAGAGGGCGTATCGGCTGTTACGCGCACGGTCAATGCGAAGTTGACGCAACGCGGACGTAAGTGAAACTCGTGTGCCAACACAGCAGCGTTTTGCATGTTTATGTTATATTATATATTAAGAATTTATTAACAAATCACACACGCGAAAGAAATGAAAAAATAAACACTTTTGGTATTAATACAATAAATGTGTTTTTAAGCTCAGTTGTGAGCCTAGAAATAAAATGTAAGGAAATGCTGTCTGTTGGTTAATTTATATATTAAGTGTTACACTTAAAAAAAAACAATATAATCTCCTCTGTTTTACAACAACCCTTTATATTTTCCAATTATCATTAACATTTCATAGCTTCACTCAACTTTATTCTAATTGTGTTGAAAGCACTAAAAATGTAAAATACCTATTGTTTTTGCGTTGTGCACTACGTGCAGACGAAATGGCGCGTACACTGCAATAATTTCAATTCAAATAAGTATTGTTTTTTTATATTACACACAAATGTTGACAGAATTTTTATTTGCACAGCTTGTGAGTTTGACGTGGTGTTTCTTATTAGAAGTTTYTTTGTATCCAACATACCAAAACGACCTGGTCAGCTTGCAATGGGGTCTCAGTAGTGCTGTATACACTCGTCTAAAATGCGGTTGTTGAATATTAATAGCGTGGCGTTTCTATTACTTAGTTTTGTGGAGTATAATTGTGCAACACCTATTGTTGGAGGCAATGTAATTTATAATCCAGGAAATGGTATGTATGAAATTTAGTTAAGGCTAGCTAATTTGTTCACATGATTTATGTTTTGAATTAAAAATTTTAGCAGCACCTAAGTATCCTTATATGGTTTCCATACAAGAATTGCATAAGCCYATTGATTCACGGGGCGTTGAAGAGTTTCGACATTTCTGTGGTGGCGCTATGTTAAATCGTTGGTGGTTCGTGACTGCAGCACATTGTTTTTTGCGCAAGTAATTAACTAAACACACATATTTATATATATATTTATCTGTAAACATTTAAAAAATAACAATTTCCTACCATAAAAGAAAGTTAGCACGCATATCAGCCGTTATCGGTCATGAAAACCTCTCAAGCGCCAATCGGAATAACAGTCGCTACGCCATCGAACGTGTTAAGTTTATTTACTACCAGCCGTAAGTATTTCCATTTGCTACATTTTAATATTCACTTTAATGGTTTTCTTAATTATGAATGTACATGTGTACAAACATTGTTTGCGCTTCCGTTGTCAATGTACTTGCCAGTACAAATATTCAAAATGATATTGCCTTGGCACGCTTAAGGAAGTCATATGAACCGGAGCTGAATTTAATATACCATGCGTTTGGCACCTTACCATTGCCTGATATGAAAAATTTAAGCGGTGGTGAGTGCTTGAGTGATAAAAAATACCTTTTTGCTTAACACTCATATATGTCTACATTTAACTTATTACTTCTGTACATCGCACTTCACATTGCAGTTTCCTGCCAGATTATAGGCTATGGTGCAACACAATATGCTGGGGAATTACAAAACAATCTGATTGAAGGTGAGGTCAAAATAATTACAAAACAAGAGTGTAGCGATATATTGGGCAGAATATTGGCACCACCACATGACGAAACTACACTCTGTGCATTGGGTGATAACCAAGATACTTGTCAGGTAAGAGTTTAGTTACAGACGTCCATACGTATTCAATGCATTTTATTGCAGGGAGACAGCGGTGGACCTTTAATATGTAAAGTGAATGATGATGCTTACGTATGTGGTATTGTATCGCATGGACTAACTTGTGGTGTAACAGGTGTACCCAGTATCTATACAGCTATAGTACCTTATTTAGAGTGGATTACATGGATAATCAATGACAAAGTAGAAGATAGCTGAAAATTACACAAAAATTAAAATTAAATTTGAACAGCGGATGCTTACAATTATTTTATTTCCTACTTATCGAAATCGATAAATGTAGGTTATATCTGTCAATGAAAATTACTTTGGTTTGATGTTGAGGCTAAGTGAAATATTATAATATTTGTTTAGCAAGTTATTGAAATACTATTAAAAAATTACTTTAAAGACGCTTATGCTTACGATGTAAAGAAATATATCGTTAATAACATTTATTTATTTACAAATACAGCAAACGTTGCACGTAATCATACGGTGCTGGTAACACTTATTTGTGTCACATTACAGTGTCGAAATTGTTATCGATTGCCGATTGTATATATCGACAGTGCAGTGAGCCACCATGAAAGACGGACGGTTCGTGAGCAGAGCGTTGGCAAACCAACAACAAATGCAGTATGACACACACGACAGACCTACATGAAAATGAAAACGACGAACGTCGACGGCAACGACGATTGACTGTCGATTGTCAACACGACGGTGAATCAAGTGAAATATATCGCTAAATACCTGCAGCAGAAAATAAACTTTAGCGAAAAATTGATTTAATTATTATTTGCAACGAATAAAAATGGTAAGTGTGTGTGGCAAATAGAACCTTAACTAAATTCTATAACTGTGAGCTAAGTAACAATAGGTCACGGATTGTTCGGCGGTCGGTACCTWTCGCCAAATACTAGGTGTCTGCGAAAATTCCATAAAAAATCACAGATTGTGTGTTGGGTGAAAAAATCGGCAAACAAAACTAAAATGTTAACAACCAGCACGGATCATGTGTGTATAGCAGTGCAGCACCAGGTTTCTGCAAATGGAAACAGTCTACCATTGCCACATACTGCTTCAAGTGTGCATAATTTATTCACTTAGTGTGACACAGTAAATAAACCGTAGTGTGAGAAGTTTGCCGGGTGATGTCTGACAATTTAACCAAATGGCTGATGAGGTACTTAGCTACTATTGTACGTACCAATAATAGCGCTATACATAGCTCTAGATTATTATGAATTCTTATGTTATGTTCGTATGTATGCATAGATTTATTGTAAATAAAACGATAATTACTTTGTACTGTTGATCGAAGAAGTATTTTCGTGTGAAATATCCAGTTCTCGCCTTTTTTCGTTTCTTAATTTCAAGGTTTTCAATATTTTATTCAAGGATCGTGTAACGAAACCGCAGAAAAAGATGCTTATCACACTGTTGCGTGAAACCAAGTACATGGAGGGGAAAAAGGAGAAGGAGTGGTACTGGGAAAAGATACAGGCAGCGCTAAACACAATTGGACCCAAGAAGACGATTATACAATGGAAGAAGGTGAGTTGTTGTGATTACTGTTAGGAATGATTATACATTCTATATGCATAATATAACGGAATAATTAAATTTCAAATTTTGTTTTTGTTACCCGCGAATTTATTAAACCTATCAACAGTGTTGGCGTGATATGCGTTTGACCACGCGTAAGAAACTTGCCGAATTGAAACGTTGCCAATTGGCAGGCGGGTCACCGCCTCCGGGCATCGAGCTCAACCAAGAAGATAACGACATTATCGACATTGTTGGCACGGAATACTTTTACGAGGAAATGAACGGCGAATTGAAGCCGGAAAACTTTATGTCTGGCTTTGATTACGTGCCGGAACATTTTTGTGATGCCATTTTAAGCGCTGCCGCAGTATCCAACGGTCAGCAACAGCACATGCAACATCAAAAGGAACAGCAACATGCATCACAACAGCAACAGCAACAACAGCAGCAGCAGCAACAACAGGATCATGCCAACAATGATGGCGAAACAAATGATGCGCCCGGTTCATCGAATCACACCGATACGCATGTTGGCGCATTTCAAACACCCGGCGTTGGCATGCAATCGCACAACGGTGACCACGTATCCGGTAGTAGTTCGTCACAACAACACAATTCGATGCCACATCTGCAGGCATTCCACGGCGGTCTGCACTCGCATCTGTTGCGCCGCCAACAGCATGCTGCCGCCGCCATGCAACGGGAATCTGCATTTGAGGAGAAACTCTTGCAATTCATGCAAGATGCTTTTCCAAAGAAAAGCAAAAAACGGAAGAATCGTGATCCCGACAAGCTCTTCTTGCTCTCACTCTACGAAGAGATCAAACGTGTGCCCGAAGAGATACGACTTGATGTCAAGGGCGAACTCATACAGGTGCTCAAAAAATATCAGAAGAAACCACCGGTGAAACAGGAAAAATCCCAATCACAAACACATGCACAATCAACAGCGTCGTCAACGAGCAAACAAAGTACGACCACCACAAATGACAAGATACAATTGTCGCAACACGCGCAAATAACGCACAGCATGTATCAGCTGCAAAAGAAGTACGAGAAAACTGAAAAAGAAGCATCGCCACAATCACAAGTCGAACGCGTATCGGCTTCAGCCGTAGCGCTACACGCGCAACAACAATTGCCACACACGCTATTCCAATTGCAAAAGAAATATGATGAGGGCGCCGAAAAGGTGCATCAACAGAATGAGCAACGCAAACATGTCGAAAGTAGTCATCAGCAACATAACAGCCATCAACAGGCGCCGGCACCACCCACCAGTGAACAACATCTACATCATCCACAAATGGCACATGGCATTATGTTTCCATTGCCACAAATACGCAACGAACAACCGTCGGCGCAACAACACCATGCACACAATCCCCACCAGCAGCAACAGCAGCAGCAACAGCCGCAACACAATCCACATCAACAGCAAACGCAACAACATCATCCGCCCACCATATTCGGCGCAACGGCCACCGCCAGCGCTATGAGCAGCGAACGGCCAGCGATGGCGTATGAGAATGTCGGATGAATGCTGAGCCGTTTGTGGGAAGCAGCCTGGGAAGGACGTGTGCACGCAGCACCGACGTCCGTAGCGGTTGCACAGCAAGAAATATAAACTGCGCCGCGCCCGTTTGCTGCTTGCTAAGGACGCACACAATTTCTATATATGTACATATACTATTTACTAACATAAAATATTAGTATAAAATAATGAAAAAGCAAAGAAAGCAAAAAACAACACAAAAATGAAAATAACTCGAAATAACTTACACATACACACAAATAATATACGAGTAATACAATATAATTGTTAATATTTGTAATGAAAATGATCGGCGTTTGATTTATATGCATTCTTCCACTTCACCACTCTGGTTCCACATACATACATACAGATAATTATTATTATTAGCGATTTCTTTTTTTAATTCAACTAGGTGTGTGTTTGGCTCCACGTGCTTTGTATGCGCTTGCATATATTTAAGCAATAACCGTTTGATTGATATGCTGAGGATAAACGCACTCAACAAAGCGTCGCTGTGATGGGATTTGTCATTTTGCTTGACATTTGTGTTAGTTTTTTTTTTTTTTGCCCGTAAAATTGTCATTTTTACGATCCAAATGTATGTAATTAACGTGCTTGCGTGGGTAAATACTATAATTGGGGGTGCAGCGGCAAGCGTTTAGACTAGAACTAGTTATGAATTGGTGTTATAGTACAATTAACTAAACTGCATAATACAACAAATGATTTATGCACAAAAATACATACATACGTGTGTGGATATGTGTGTATGTTTATGTAGATATGTTTATATGTATGTACATACATACTATACATATGTATGTAAGGTCACTTTTAATTTGATTTCTTTGAAGTTACATATTCCCTTTTTTCTATATACCATTATTTTTTAGTTGTGGGAAATTTGAAAATAAATTGCAATAACAAATAACATAACATTTAAATTCCTGAGTATAATTGTTATTATTATTTTGTTTTGCATTATTTGCATGTAAATATTATTATTAATTGGGTGCTAAATTTTCATTTATCAAGAAATACAGGTGGGCTTGCTTGTTGATAATTATTTCATTATGCAATAAAATAAAATATAAATAATCGTTTAATAGCACATCATGCGCAATAATTAAATCTACTTACTAATAATGTTTTTATAATGCAATCGTATGGCATCAATCGGAAAAGGAAGATATACACGAAATGTTAATATAATTATACCCTGAACAGGATACATATTTTAGGCTAGGTTAGTTGACACTGGCTGGACGTGACGCTATCTATAGAACTGCAGATTGTTGTAGCTGTAGACTTTTGCCGACTTGACCTTGACCGGATAAAAAACCGACTCCGTTCCGGTTACATACACCTGTCTAACGTTGGAAATACAGGTTCTTTGAAATACCATATGAATGTTCATTATCAATAATCGGTTTTTCTGTAGTTTAAAAAATACTTAATATCTAGTCTAATACTTCATCCATCCCCTTGAACTGTGAATCTTTTAGCTATCTAAGTCGAGTTCGAAATAAAGTTGAATATACGTAGAGGCAGTTTTCCAGCAATGTGACTTCTGACTAGGCCAAAAACCGTCTTGCAATCCCTTCGAGACCGTGTGAAAAGCTTCGAGTTTCCTTCCCCTCCTTAGTGATCCTGCATGCTTCCAAGGCATTCCATCGCACTCTGGTCCGTCCGTCAGCCTCCTTTCGTTGTGTATTATTTAACGGGCTTCCTTCCGCATATGATCTTAGTGATCCTGCATGTCTCCAAAGCATTCCATCACACTCTGAGTCGGAGTTTTTAATTTCTGAACTGGTTCGGTAGTCAAACGAATGTCAAACTGGCACTCAATATATATGCAGCCGCTTTCCAGCAACCACTATATCTATTGCCTGCTTGCACTTCTCATCCTCTAACGCAATGCGCTCTCAGRTTATTGCTTTAAATGTTGCTTTGCTATCTTTGTATATATTGATATTCTTTACGTCATTCTGCGTTAGTTATTTCAGCAGCTTTCCTGACTGCAAGGATTTCTGTCTGGAAGATACTGCATTATTCCAGAAGCTTGATGATTTACCGAAGATCTAGCTACACGCAATAGATCCCAGGTCTCACTCCAACATTCTATATTTACATAATTTTCTGCGTTGCTAGGTATCTCAGTAGCTTTCCTAACTGCAAAGACTTCTAGACCAGTCTTTGTTCTTTACAATACCTGATGGTCCTGGGTCCAAGAGGTGTAGTCATTCTTTAGTGTGCCTGTGCTTGTCGCAAAATTTAACAGACTCTTTGGCCTCACTATTGATACCTCCTCCAGTGTATCATACTGTGGGGATCCCAAATACCTACCGCGTATTCTTGCCAATGCGGGACAAGTGTACAAGAAATTATCCATTGTTGCCCTGTTGTACACATTTCATGCAGTC